GTATATTGTCACCTACCGCCTGTTAGGTGGGAAAGGGGTCCAATACCACCCACAGGATGGGTATGAGGGTCACATCCACCCACAGGATGAGTATGGGGGATCACATCCACCCACAGGAAGAGTATAGGGTCCAATACCACCCACAGGATGAGTATGGCGTCCACTACAACCCACAGGATGGGTATGGGGCTCCAACCACCCATAGAATGGGTATGGGGCTCCAACCACAAATAAAATGGGTATAGGGTCCAATAACACCCACTGGATGTTTAAGGCGTCCATTGCCGCGCTTCGAGCTCGAAAACCGCAGCATTCATCTCAGAACCATGCCTATTTCACACAGATTCCTTAATAAACGTAAGAGTTTTATATGTCACAAGAAAGATAGAAATATAAGCTTCATTCTAAATACCTTACCATGGGCATATTTAAATTTAAAGCGAAGATACGTGTACTTTTATAATAGCCGAGCTTTAACCCCGGACAGATTGATCGACCGAGCAACTCTCTCTCAGAACAATGTTTATTTCACGTGAATTCGTTAATAAACATATATGTTTTATATGTCTCAAGAAAGGCAGACATATAAGCTTCACTTTAAACACTTTACCATAGACATATTTAAAGTTCTAATGAAGATACATGTATTTTAAAAATTACGGAGCTCCCACCCCGTACAGACTGAACGACAGAGCAACTCTCTCTCAGATCAATGTTTATTTCACGTAAATTCGTTAATAAACACAAATGTTTTATATGTCTTAAGCAAGATAGAAATAAGAGCTTCATTTTCAATACATTACAATAGACATATTTATAGCTCAAGTGAAGATACATATGTTTTTATAGTAGCGCTCAGTAGCTTGTCGGGCATGGAGTGCAGACGCCTACGCACTTGCCGATATATTGTATAATTATCAAAGATACGCTAATAAAGCCTAAAATCTTATATGCCTCCAGAAAGACCGAGATATGAACATTATTATGATTTCACCAAATGAAATATATCATGTTCGAGAACAAAGATATATCAATTTTAAATTAAGTTTCGACTCTTGCTCGGGCGAGAGAGAGGGAGCGACTCTCGCCCCATCTATTGGAGATTCTGTCCACTAAAGACCCAAAGCTACTCAAACCCTCCTAGCATTATTTAAGTAATGAAGTAATATGGTATATTTACTATAATGTGGGTGCTGAATGCAGAACATGAGAAAACATATATTTACTCCAAACTAATATAATTTCATTATGAAATAAGTAAATAAGTAGCATCAAAGGAAGTCGACGGTCCAAGCGTCAATGTTGTGGAACGACTTATCCAAGATATATCGTTGTTTGGAAAGTGTTTGTTGGCATATCCAGTTGTCGCACTTCTCTGCACAAATTATCACAAATTTAAATTATAATGTTAACAAGTAGAATACGTATTTTTAATAAAATCTAACATAGCTAGCCAGAAAACATTTAACATTTATTAAAAAAATATATGTTTGGAAGTTAAATCGACTTCATAGGACAATTGTGTTGTTATATATACTCGTTATTCGTTGACATGCGTTCGCTACTTAAACTACCATGTACTGTACTTATGTGAAATCTCCCATGTCTCTTCGCTCATCTCACCGAACCCTACAGGCTCTGTGACATATTGCTTAATTAATTGAGATTCACAAATAAAGCTTATAATTGTATATGTTATCAAAAAGACAGAGCTTATTTTAGTTCATTTATTATGCACCCCATACCCATCCTATGGGCGATAGTGGAGTGTTACAGAGGCGCATAATGGGCTCAGGGACTGAGCCCCACAATTCATATAGCCAAGGAAGTTATAATCTTGGTAAGCTAGTTACAAAAGTCAATGCACATTGTCAAATCAACAATGGGCTCGAGACCGACCACAAGTACAGTTTATAATTTAAGCAACTGACATATGGAGGGCTAGTGTCACAATTGATTTGTTTATCCTACACATAACCCCCTCTCCCCCATCCAATGGGCAGCGGTGGATAGGTTACAATCAAGTCGTTTTTTGCGTTTTATTCAGAGATTAGATCTTATTGGGTGAGGAAAGATATTCATATTTTAAAGAAGGCTTCTTGGCTGATGCTCTCCATTGATGGAAAATCTACAACCTTTTGAAAATCAATGTTAGTTTGATCTAATATTGTAATTAACGCAGTTACCTGATGTTATTCTTCACCTATATCTTTTTCTGGTTAATCCCTATTTACATTATGCAGTTCAGGCTTCGTCGCCAGACTATAGTTTTTAGTTTAGTTAATTTATCACATAATGGGTTCAGGGACTGAACACACAATTTATTTATCTAAGCAAGTTACAATCTTGAGGAGCTAGCCACAAAATTCATAACACATCGTCACATCAACAACATGGGTTCGAGATCGACCACAAGTACAGTTTCTAAATTAAGCAAATGCCATAAGTGGAGAGCTAGTGTCACAATTGATATGTTTGTCCTGCACATTTCCACAGTGGTTTGCTTGGGTTCTTTTAATTATCTTAGATATCATTGAAGAGAACCTCCTAGGTACTATACTGTATATATGCTGGTAAGAAGTATAATTATCCTGAGAATCCCCAATGATCTTTGGCAGGTGGACTTTGGTGTGAACGCCAAGAAATCCGGACTCCACCTGCCAAAGATCATTGGGGAATATAAACCTGGATATGCGTATGGAAATGTCAAGACACACAAGCCTGGAAACCCACTTCGGCCAATCATTACCCAGATACCCACACCCACGTACAGACTGGCGAAGCGACTCAACGGCCTGCTGACTCCTTATGTTCCTTGCGCCTTCAGCCTGAAGTCTCCAAAGGAATTTGTTGACTTACTGCGGGGCACACGGGCCACAGGGATAAGAGCCTCGTTGGACGTAGAATCGCTGTTTACCAACGTACCTGTGGACGAGACAATCGGGATGATAGCCGACAGAGTGTATCGTGATCCAGCCTGTACTCCTCTTGACATACCCGAAAATATTCTAAGGAAACTACTCCAAGCTTGTACTAAAGAGGCACCCTTCTTGAGCCCGGATGGGCACATGTATAAGCAAGTAGATGGGGTCGCCATGGGTTCTCCCCTAGGTGTCCTGTTTGCAAACTTCTACATGGGTACCATCGAGCAAAAAGTCTTAGTCGACATGAACTTGAAACCGGCCATATACTGCAGGTATGTTGACGACATTTTTACACAGGCACCTGATGTCAGACATCTGCAGGAGCTGAAGGAGGCATTTGAGCAGAGTTCCGTGCTGCGTTTCACTTACGAGATGGAAAAGGATGGGAAGCTGCCCTTTCTAGATGTAACAGTCATGGAAAAGAGCGGAGGTTTCCACACTGCAGTCTACACTAAGGAAACGAACATAGGAATGTGCCTAAATGCCAACAGCGACTGCCCAGACAGGTACAAGAGGAGTGTTGTTAACGCATATGTCGACCGTGCTCTAAGCCACAGCTCAGAATGGAAGCAAGTCGACGAAGAACTCTGTAGGGTAAGGCAGGTCCTAGTCAACAACGGCTTCTCCAATGGTTTCGTCGAAGACATCATAAAAAGGAAAGTGAAACGCCATGCAACCTCTGAAGAGACAACTAACACAACACCTATACCCCCTATTAGACTATTTTACAGGAACTTCTTTTCCACAGCTCATAAAACAGAGGAAAGGGTCCTGAAAGATATTGTTAATAGAAACGTTATCCCTACAGACAAAAATCAGAGGATACAACAGACGATTTACTATAAAACCAGAAAAACGGCCAGCCTACTCATGAGAAACTCTCCAGACACAAAGCAGAACGCTTTAAAAGAGACCAACGTCGTCTATGCCTTCAAATGCCCACTTGGGGACTGTAAGCTCCAAAAAACCCAGTATATAGGCAAGACAACAACATCTCTTTCTAGGCGTTTAACGATGCATAAACAACAGGGCTCCATTAAGGAACATATAATCTCTTCCCACAACCAAACCATCGCCAGAGAAATCCTAGTAAACAACAAAGAAATCATCGATAGATACAGCGATAGCAGGCGGCTTGACGTTTGCGAGGCACTACACATTAAGAAGTCAACACCAGCAATCAACAGCCAATTAATGCACAACTATATTCTACCCACCTCAAGACTCCGCTCCAATATAGAAGCATCAAGAAATATGGACCAATAGGCTTTCTACAATCACTTCCATTTAAATACCCATTGTTTCGTGTTGATGAAATTAATACCCTATTAATGCCACCTCTTGTTCTGTCTTGTGTTGATGAGATTAATACCCTATTAATGCCACCTCACCCCATCCACCTCACTCAAATGTAGATATAAACAAAAATCGGAGATGTGTAAGTTCTATTCAGTTGTGTATTTGTAAACTAAAGTCTTTGAAAATGTAATAAGTTTTACGAAACGCGCTCGTGTCGCGTGAGACTAGAAATAAAAATGAATTTTGGAGAATTGATTTTTGAATTACCTCCAACAGTGAAAAGAAATGTACGAAAGATTGAGAAAATTCGTGTTAGAATTATTAATCTTACTTTTTCGGTCATATTTAATAATATATATATATATATATATATATATATATATATATATATATATATATATATATATTATATATATATATATATATATAAATGAGATGTTTTACACAAAATTAAGCTATAAAGGTATTTGTACATAATGAAACAATTATAAATATCTACTGAATGGGGTGAGAATAGCTTGAGCTACCTCATCCCTTTGTGTGTATTTTACCGCAATAAACTTATTTCAATTTCAATTTTAATTTCAATTATAAATAACAATTTTAAAAGGCATCCTCACGATAAACTCTTTGTCTTCCATAGCCTGAGTAATTAAGAGAAACGAGTAGGCAGGAAAATAATAACAAAATGCGAACGAGAGGAGAAGAGTGAGGAGTGAGGTAGGAGGTGAGGTACGGGGTGAGGTAGAGGTGAGAGAAGAGTTGTCATAGTGGTCCCTGGGAGCCAAGCGTCGGCAGTTTGTTTACAAGGGAACAATGGCGTCGATGCCAGCCAGGTTGTGAGCTCCACTTGTCTTGCCAGTTCTACCCACTATACCGTCATCTCGCAGGAGTAAGTGCGGAGTCTAGGGCTCCGTTGGGCGCTCATCTTGCTTGCTGGCGGGCTTGTGGGTATCTAAATGAGGCGGCGGTTGCGGGAATTTGGGATATGTAAATGGGCGGGCTTGGGGGCCGGGGTGTGGGTCGGGGGGAGAGGCAGGAAACAACCGTAGTGTGTAGGCCTTGTGGTGGGGGGAAGGGGGTGGGGGATGTGCTCTTGGGATGGTAAAGGGGGAGGGGGCGTGGGGTGATGTGGCTACCTGCACACTCTTGACCTGACCTGCACCTGACCTTCACCTGACTGCAAGTCGAACAGACGTTGAACTTTAGCTGGAGTGACCTTGACTCATGTTGACCTTGGTTCCTAAACTGACTTTCATCCCTATTCAACTTGGTCCTGAGCTGAGCTTAACCCATGTTGACCTTGGACCTGAGCTGACCTTGACCTGAGATATGCTTAACAAAAGTTGACCATGACCCAAGATGACCTAGACCCATGATGACTTGTCCTGAGTTAATCCTAAGCTTAAATATAATCGGCAAGCAAAATATTAATTTTTCACAGCCATACTGCATAATATGGGTCTGATTATATTACTATTTTCAGTAGAAGTTCTCTTGGTCTTCAGCTCTACTTGTAAAGACAAATTACTACTCCATTATTGTAAGGTTAATTATCTGGAGTAAGTTCTAAGTTGGTGTGACTATATGAACTTCTAAGGAATAGAGGACAGACAGTTGGGATTTGTGGACAGGATAAGGGGAAGTACCCAACTACTTAACCTCTGCAGAACACAATACCTTAAGGCACTCGCACTCAACATGATGGCTTTTAGTGATCGTGGGGTACATCATAAGATTCAAAACTCGTACGCATGTTGAAGGTTGGGCTCGGGGAGTAGAAGAACTCTGAGAACCCTCTCCAGGTATGCTTCAGGTATACATGTGGCTCACATATGCTTCCTCAAGCCTCCAGTAACCATCCCTTCTCTTCAGAATATTATCCCGAGTCCTTCACTTTCCTTTTAAAGCCTCGGTAGGGGTTCATATAATTACTCAAAGCTACTTGAAGCTTCCTAGCATTACGTAAGTAAAGAAGAAATATGACATAGTTATGCGCTATAATGTTGTTACTGAATGTATAACATTAAAAAAAAACATATTTTTACTGTGAAATAATATAATTTTATAACTAAATTAAGTCAAACCAAGACCTCCCACGCCGGATAGCCAGCGTGGGAGGTCTGGGGCTCCCCCTTCCCCCTCCCGGGGAGGGGGGAGCTGCGCAGACAGCGGCGCGGTGACGTATGACGTCATACTAGTTTCCTTGTTTTCTGTTGAAGAGTTCTATCCACTAGTTCGGCTTTAGGTAGCAATTTTCACCAGAATAGGGGTTTGTTTTGGAATGCTTACCTTTCTGGATGCTTGACCCGGTCGATGGCAGACATAGAATGCTTCCAACCACACGGGGGTTTCTATAGGCCATTGCTCCCCTTGCCTCTCTGAGGGGGCCAGGTTCTGGCCGTGGTCCCCGGTAGGCCCTAGAACTCCATACACATGACTGATGCCAAAGTCTGACATTAGCATATCAGCCGGTAAAGCTCCGGGGAGCCTCCGGGTCTCGCCCAGAAAATGGCGTTTCATTACATTCAACGCTGGTTTTTTTGTTGTGTGTGAGTGAGGGGAAAATGTTTCAAATATGGCCTAACTAAACTTAGTTAACCTAATACAAGTACATGAGCCCAGAAAATTAAATAGACATACTATTGTGTTATGCTTCACTGGTGCAGAAATGAGTGAACGATATGGAAGAAAATGCAGAATAGAACCAGTGAAGAGCAGGGGTGCCATAGGCACAATCAGAGAACACTATAAACATCAGAGGTCCACGGTTGTTCAACACCCTCCCAGCAAGCATAAGAAATATTGCCTGAACAACCGTGGACATTTTCAAGAGGAAACTAGATTTATTCCTCCAAGGAGTGCCGGACCAACCGGGCTGTGGTGGGTATGTGGCCCTGCGGGGCCGCTCCAAGCAACAGCCTGGTGGACCAAACTCTCACAAGTCAAGCCTGGCCTTGGGCCGGGCTTGGGGAGTAGAACTCCTCCCAGAACCCATCAACCAGGCATCAACTAGGTATACACATCTCTTTGTTTTGTGAGTTTGTTTTTGAGAGATGTCATGATGAAAGTAATGTGGTCAAATCATACACAAGATGTTTTGACAAAGAACATTTTCTGACTTCCAAAACCACAGTACTGTACAGTACTGTATATCGTTAGGTTAACACTTTCGCATGCCTGGCGGGCCACCCGCATGGCACCAGAAGGTAGGCAATATCAAACTCTTTCACTTACACTTTTATACTTAATAACAAGACTGCAAAAATGTATGCACGACGCCGTTTGTGTCATCACCTATTTTGTGTGTTTTGGTTTTATGCCGCATAATGCATCATCAGGACACGATAGTGTTAAGATGCATTAACTTAGGTTAGGATGTGTGTTTGGGTTGGTTGGGTTGGGTTAGACTAGGCTAGATTAGGTAGCATTAGGTATGGTTTAAAATTTGTTGGCAAACCATCTTGGGTATGACGTGACTTGTATCCTGTAGAGTCATAGAGGTGCATTGCCAAAATTCATATTACCTTTCTGGACTCAATCTGGATTTGTCATATTAATGGAGTCATCATACATACCCTAATATTTCCGACATTATGTTGGAGGATTTCACCGAGCAAAATTATAAGTTTCAACTAGTCATATGATGGACAAGAAGCAAGAGAACATGTTGGTGCACAAATTTCACCACGTCAATTTTATTTCCCATGTCCCAGCCTTGAAACTTTTTCAAGACAAATGTGTCGTAACAAAAGTCTTCAGTTATTTTCAATATATTTATAACAGAATTTTGATAATTTTAATTTAAATGAGAAAAATAGAGGTTTCATGCTGTGCGATATTGTAGGAGTTATTGGCGCTTCATCTGGCAACATGGCTCGGTCCCTCCATTCTCTTTTTCCTTGAACCACCAATGCTAACCATAGAATTTTGTTTTAACACTTTCGCGTTCTGGGCGTGCGTGCGCCAGACTACCCCAAGGTGGCCCGGGCATTTCCCCTGAGCATGTGGCAACACTGAAATGTGTATACTCTTCAGTTTTATCACCTCAATTTGCATTGTACGTCATTCATTTTGGTATGAAAATGTTCACAATCGAATTCCCTACAGGAGTACAATGGGGTCTCGACTTACTATGCTAATCCATTCCCAGAAACGGATCGTAAGTCGAAATATCGTAAGTCGAAGCGATTTTTCTCATAAGAAATAAAAGGATTTGAATTAATCCGTTCCCCACCCTCCAAAATATTAACACTTTGGCGTACCCCGCGCGCCACCCCTCAACTGTGCGATATGGGACCCAGGGTGTCACGGGAGCGCGCGTATATTCTGAAAAGTGTATACTCTCTTCAACTTTGTCACCTTAATTCTCGTCCTACGAGATTAAATTTGGTATCATTGTGTTCGCAGTAGAATTCTCTACAGCACTAAATGCATATAAACTCCAAAAGCTCGGCTAATTACCCGCAGCAAACAGAGAAAGTGCGAACGAGTTACCCAGGAGCGCGCAAACACGATAAAATGTTTTCACTATTTTCACTCTGCTCACCTCAATTTTTGTCCTAGGTCTTTCATTTTGGTCTCAATGGGTTTGCAATAGAATTCTCTAGAGGAACATTAGCATATAAAATAAAAAACCTGGTCATGCTCCAACCGCCGACGAGTTGAAGACGGGCCACGTGTTAGCCGCGAGTGAGCTCTCAGACGCCTTCCAGCTACACTCCCAATTCCCTCCCTTTTCAAGCCTTTCTTTCGCAATTTTCTTCCTGGAAGGGCCTTGTTCATGATCACTATCCATTGTGGAGTAAGCGTAGATAGTTTCTAAAGCCGCAGTAAGAAATATAGCCACGGAAAATAGCCGAAATGTTCTCACGTTTGAGATGCCGAGGGGAGGCGACATTGGTCACAACAGTGGAGCGAAAACAATGGGCCCACGGCGTGTGCCAAGCCACCTGAGGGCCACGAGGCTCAACAAAGAAAATGGGAAGACATCGGCGCACATTTTAAAACCAGTCCCAAGAAATCGGATAAAAACCTGATTTTTGGCGATTATTTAAAGTGGATGACGCAATGCTGCGTCATCCCCGGTATTACCGACAGTAAACGGATAACGCAATGCTGCGTCATGCCCGGGCGAAAGTGTTAACATACAAATACATTTAATACTGAATACAATGTTTTTTTCTAACTACAATACAGTACCTAAGTTTATCTTACCTTTATGGAGGACTCTGGATGGCATATGGAAGATGGTGATGAGGGGGAGGAGGAGAGTTGTTACTGTTTGGAAGGGGAGTCCCCTTCCATTATCACATCAGGCAGTGATGTTTTCTCTGGGGTACTCTCTCTCCTACGTTTTGCCTGAATACCACTAGGACCTGGTTGTGGTTCAGTGCTTGTTTGTCTCTCTACAGATTTGTCAAGAGACATTTTTTTCCCTTCGTTTTAACATTTGTCTGTAATGATGCATCACCCATAGTGTCCTTTTTCTTAGCCAGTATGGTGAATATCGTTAACCACAAAAGCGAATACCACAAAAGCGAAATTTCTTATAGGCGCGATCGTCGCTAAGCGGGCAGCTGTAGTAAACTGAGGCAGGTCGGCCGCGTGACCAGGAACCACGCGCTCGGTTGACCCGAACATCTACCAACAAATATCGTAAGTCGACGACACCATCGGATGTCGAGTCGCATTTTACAATGAAATTTACACCGTAACTCGAAATTATCGTTAGTAGGGGCAATCGTAAGTCGAGGTGCCGCTGTATATACATATTAGGTCCAAAAGCCCGGCGTGCCCCCACCCGCAGCAAAGCTGAAAGCCGACCATGCGTTGCCAGTGAGTGGGCACCCATTGGCACACCCGCAACACCCCCAACACCTGCTCACACAGGTTTATACTGTTTTCAGGTTGATAACATAAATTTTCATGCTACAGCGTTCATTTTGGTATCAAATAGTTCGTAATAGATTGTTTTAAAGGGATATATGCACATAAGGGCAAATGGAAGAAAATTGCAAATACAATAAGATAAAGTATAAACCACAATATCAAATGTATAAAAAAAATTATGTTTATATATATACTGTATATATATAATGGTCCCCAGGACAATATGCAACTGAAAACTCACACCCCAGAAGTGACTCGAACCCATACTCCCAGATGCCACGCAACTGGTATGTACAAGACGCCTTAATCCACTTGACCATCACGACCGGACATAATGAGGTGATAGCCGAGGCTATTTGAACCACCCCACCGCCGGCACTCGGATAGTAATCTTGGGCATAGCATTTTACCAAATCACCTCATTCTTTGGGGCACACGTGAGGAACACAAATGCGAACAAGCCTGAATGGTCCCCAGGACAATATGCAACTGAAAACTCACACCCCAGAAGTGACTCGAACCCATACTCCCAGATGCCACGCAACTGGTATGTACAAGACGCCTTAATCCACTTGACCATCACGACCGGACATAATGAGGTGATAGCCGAGGCTATTTGAACCACCCCACCGCCGGCACTCGGATAGTAATCTTGGGCATAGCATTTTACCAAATCACCTCATTCTTTGGGGCACACGTGAGGAACACAAATGCGAACAAGCCTGAATGGTCCCCAGGACAATATGCAACTGAAAACTCACACCCCAGAAGTGACTCGAACCCATACTCCCAGATGCCACGCAACTGGTATGTACAAGACGCCTTAATCCACTTGACCATCACGACCGGACATAATGAGGTGATAGCCGAGGCTATTTGAACCACCCCACCGCCGGCACTCGGATAGTAATCTTGGGCATAGCATTTTACCAAATCACCTCATTCTTTGGGGCACACGTGAGGAACACAAATGCGAACAAGCCTGAATGGTCCCCAGGACAATATGCAACTGAAAACTCACACCCCAGAAGTGACTCGAACCCATACTCCCAGATGCCACGCAACTGGTATGTACAAGACCAGTTGCGTGGGGACCATTCAGGCTTGTTCGCATTTGTGTTCCTCACGTGTGCCCCAAAGAATGAGGTGATTTGGTAAAATGCTATGCCCAAGATTACTATCCGAGTGCCGGCGGTGGGGTGGTTCAAATAGCCTCGGCTATCACCTCATTATGTCCGGTCGTGATGGTCAAGTGGATTAAGGCGTCTTGTACATACCAGTTGCGTGGCATCTGGGAGTATGGGTTCGAGTCACTTCTGGGGTGTGAGTTTTCAGTTATATATATATATATATATATATATATATATATATATATATATATATATATATATATATATATATATATATATATATATAAAACAAACTCATACTCTACAACTCAATGATGTTTGTAGAGCATGAGTTGAGCATTATGTTTTATCCACTCCACCTGCTCCAGGAAAAAGTTTTCTGAAGCTTCTCATGTTTTATAGGTGGAGTGGATGGTGGGTAAGCATTACTGCTTATCCACCCTATTGTCTCTTGCGATGGTACGTGCTGTTGCACGGTGCAGCACACAGTGCCACACCACACAACTTACACTTATACCTGGTCTCCTTCCTTTTACCAGACTTGAAGCAAGCAAGACACTCCAGACGATTCTGTATGCAAATTAAGGAATGGCGCAAGATCCTGTTCAGATGTTCTGGATTATCCACAATACGAGCGCTTTTTCAAGCAGATACACCACAAGGAATAATCTGACTCTCGTCTTCTGAGTCAGATGATGAATTTTCAACTGGAGGTGAAGAAGGGAAAAGTGGCTGCCTCACATCTGATGGTCCGGGTGTTGCAACATTATCGCTAGTAGATGTGCTCGCATATGATGTGCCAGTAGATGTGCTCGCATATGATGTGCCAGTAGATGTGCTCGCTCGCATATGCATCACTAGCATGTGTGATATTATTTTGCTGAGACCAATTCTTAGGCTCAAAGTTCAATAGTGATGAAATGACTACTTCGTGGAATGGAGTAAAGTGAGTTTCTTTGTATCAGTTGTGTGGAAATTTAGATTGTTTCCTCCAAGGAGTGACGAACCAACCGGGCTGTGGTGGGTATGTGTGCCTGCGAGCCGCTCCAAGCAACAGCCTGGTGGACCAAACTCTCACAAGTCAAGCCTGGCCTTGGGAAGGGCTTTGGGAGTAGAAGAACTCCCAGAACCCCATCAACCAGGTAGTACTTGTATAACACAAAAGCATTATGGATAGCCATTTGCAGAAAGTAGAACGTGATTTTCTTTGTCCACTTGTGACATTTCCGTGTGAACTGATAGTACAGTATTTGATCAGTTGGTTGAAGTGATCAACACCTTTCATGTGGTTATTGTAGGCACAGATTGCCTTTGGTTTGTTCAGTGACCTGTTGCAGTGAAGATGTCCCGTCAGGTTTGCGTAGTCATTTCCTTCGTTGCACTTGTTGTGTATCTGCATTATGGCAAGTTGTGATGAGTGAAACAACTCGCTTATCTTTCTTCACAGGTATAAAAGTATTGTCCTTCCGTCGGAATACAGTTTTATCTACTGCAAGTTTACCCTTTGCTTCGAGCTGAAGATCTTTAGGTGCACCACACTGCAATCTGAGAGTACCACAGGTGTATATACCACCTTCAAGCAGGTTTTCACTCAGTCGAACCGAAACCATATATAAATGATAAATAACCTTTGTTTTTCAGTGGTTCAATCAAGCCCATAACCGTTTGAATCGTTGTCTTCCCAATTCCGGCATACACCTCAAACTCATAGATGTAACCAGTCTGGGATTCAACTAGAATGTAGAGCTTTAATCCATACTTATCAGGCTTATTTGGATTATAAACCTTGAAAGCTAGACGGCCACACGATGACCTTCATGTGCATTCATCTAAACTCAAATGTTTCTGAGGAATGTATAATGTTTTGAATTTTTGTGAGAGATATTGCATGAATGTTCTTACTTTGATTAGTCTGTCTTGATTGTCTTTGAAAATGGCATTATTGTTATGAATATAAAAATGTTTTGAAATCGATTTATGTCGTTTCGAAGTCATAAAAGTATTGAAAGAAAGTACATGCCAAAATTGACCTGTTTGCCAGTACATTCTCATCGTTGGCAACTTCGCAATGGCCATCAACATTGTCAGTCGCAAATATCTGGCAAGCTCGTATTTCACATCAGAAATAACTGTATAAATCCCAGAGGAGTGCTAGGTATAGGTACAGTCAAGCCTGGTATTCCTGTAAAACTGTCTAAAAATGTTGTAGTGTTGTCAGTTACCTGCTTGATACCTGCTTGATGGGGTTCTGGGAGTTCTTCTACTCCCCAAGCTCGGCCCGAGGCCAGGCTTGACTTGTGAAAGTTTGGTCCACTAGGCTGTTGCTTGGAGCGGCCCGCAGGCCCACATACCCACCACAGCCCGGTTGGTCCGGCACTCCTTGAAGGAATAAATCTAGTTTCCTCTTGAAGATGTCCACGGTTGTTCCGGCAATATTTCTTATGCTTGCTGGGAGGACGTTGAACAACCGCGGACCTCTGATGTTTATACAGTGTTCTCTGATTGTGCCTATGGCACCTCTGCTCTTCACTGGTTCTATTCTGCATTTTCTTCCATATCATTCACTCCAGTACATTGTTATTTTATTGTGTAGATTTGGGACCTGGCCCTCCAGTATCTTCCAGGTGTATATTATTTTATCTCTCTCGTCTTCTTTCTAGTGAGTACATTTGGAGGGCTTTGAGACGATCCCAATAATTTAGGTGCTTTATTGCGTCTATGCGTACGGTATATGTTCTCTGTATTCCCTCTATTTCAGCAATCTCTCCTGCTCTGAAGGGGGAAGTGAGTACTGAGCAGTACTCAAGACGGACAACACAAGTGACTTGAAGAGTACAACCATTGTGATGGGATCCCTGGATTTGAAAGTTCTCGTAATCCATCCTATCATTTTTCTGGCTGTCGCAATATTTCCTTGGTTATGCTCCTTAAACGTTAGGTCGTCAGACATTATTATTCCCAAATCCTTTACATGCTGTTTTCCTACTATGGGTACATTTGATTGTGTTTTGTACTCTGTATTATGTTTAAGGTCCTCATTTTTACCGTACCTGAGTACCTGGAATTTATCACTGTTAAACATCATGTTATTTTCTGATGCCCAGTTGTAAACTTTATTAATATCAGCTTGAAGTTTTTCAGTGTCTTCAGCTGAGATAATTTTCATACTGATTTTTGTGTCATCTGCAAAGGATGATACGAAGCTGTGACTTGTATTTTTGTCTATATCTGATATGAGAATAAGGAAAAGCAGCGGTGCAAGGACTGTACCCTGAGGTGCAGAGCTTTTAACTGCACTTGAACTAGATTTTATGTGGTTGATCATTACTCGCTGAGTCCTGTTTGACAGAAAACTGAGTATCCAGCGTCCTACTTTACCGGTTATTCCCATTGACTTCATTTTGTGTGCTATCACGCCATGGTCACATTTATCGAAAGCCTTTGCGAAGTCCGTGTATATCACATCAGCATTCTGTTTTTCTTGTAATGCCTCAGTGACTTTGTCGTAGTGCTCAAGTACCTGTGAGAAGCACGATCTTCCCGCTCGAAAACCATGTTGGCCTGATGCCTGGTGGTAGACCAGGCTTCACCAGAACTTCTGCACGGGATATGTTGGGTACGAGTGGTACGTGCAGTACGAGTTCCAATACCATGCCCAGCACGTGTGGCGGGATCAACATCAGAATCATCACTCTCCTCACTTTCAATTTCACCTCGCTTGCTGTTTCTGTTTCAACGACTTCACTATCTACATCACTGTCACTTTTGGCACTTTCAAGATCAGATAATTCGTCAGGTATAGCCTGGAATTTGAGGGATGCGAGTCTAACTCGGCTGTACTTTTCGCAAACACTACTTGGCTTATCCCTCCGATGTGTTTTTTTTTACTGTTTTCGTCCTTGAATGGCTCTGTTCTTGATCACTATCCATCTTGGAGTAAATGTAGTGTGTTTAAAGCCACAGTAACAAATATAGCCGAAGAAAATAGCCGGAACATCTTCTTGAGGTTACCTTGAGATGATTTCGGGGCTTAGTGTCCTCGTGGCCCGGTCTTCGACCAGGCCTCCACCCCCAGGAAGCAGCCCGTGACAGCTGACTAACTCCCAGGTACCTATTTACTGCTAGGTAACAGGGGCATCAGGGTGAAAGAAACTCTGCCCATTGTTTTTCGCCGGCGCCTGGGATCGAACCCGGGACCACAGGATTACGCGTCCAGTGTTCTGTCCACTCAGCCACCGACTCATACACACGTTTTGGACAGGAGGGGACACAGACGTTGGAGCACATTTTAAAACCAGTCTCATAAAGATCGGATAAAAACTTGAATTTCACCAAAAAAATTTAATTTTGGACGCACCGAAGCATCTGTACCGCACATCCGTAAAGTTATTTACGGACGCAACATGCGTCACCGCCCTATGAAAGTATTAATATGCTTGATGTCTTACACAAGACTCCAACTGTTCATTTAGTGTTGTGTCTATCAACCAAAATGTTTGAGAACATGAGTGGATTAGTAACATACAATTTTTGGTGACAATATTCAAAATTTATGGGGATTTTTGTCATTTATTTAAATTCTGGACAGCGGCTGTGAAGAAATGGGCATACCTGCCTGTGAGCCAAAAATAAAAAAAAATCAACAAAATAATTTTTCATTGTAGAATTATTAATTTGTATGCAAAAATTTAAGAAAAACATGAAAATGAATGAATATTTATGGTTTCACCGTGTGGAGGGGCTCTGAAAGGTTACATGGTGGCTATGTCTGGCAACACCTGGTGCCCGTCTCTGCTGACGCTTCCTCTTTATCTTTGGATTTTCACCGATTGTTTACACTTGTTTCTCTGTATTTCTCTCTATGTATGTGTGTTAAATAACTTTATAAATTACATAATTCACGTAACACAATTGTTTCGATAACACATGTTTCAGTTGATGATTGAATTACCTGGGTGTTACAACCGTAGAGTAGTGAAAAGGATATGAACATTATATTCAGTAATGTTGGGGTCTGGGTGATGACATACAGCCTAATTGGCACCATATGCATGAGACTGAAAGAAAGGCATAATCCACCAGTGTGCATCTACACATGATGGCAGAACCCCATCAAGCAGGTATCGAGCAGGCTCTAGGGAGCTGGTCGGCCGAGCGGACAGCACGCTGGACTTGTGATCCTATGGTCCCGGGTTCGATCCCGGGCGCCGGCGAGAAACAATGGGCAGAGTTTCTTTCAACCTATGCCCCTGTCACCTAGCAGTAAAATAGGTACCTGGGTGTTAGTCAGCTGTCACGGGCTGCTTCCTGGGGGTGGAGGCCTGGTCGAGGACCGGGCCGTGGGGACACTAAAGCCCCGAAATCATCTCAAGATAACAACCTTGTACATATAACCATGAAATGGTAGCAGGATTTTTTTTCATGAGACAAGGTAAATGCCATTACATCCCATACAATATTTGCATCATTTTATCCCTATTTGCATCATAAATATAAAACAAAGACAATAATTGTTTAAATCGTTGTAGGATGCTAACTGCATTACCTAGTTAATCAAGCTATGACGATACTGTACTCGCATTCCAAGGGTTAATGTATAGTTTTGGTCACTGATGCATTAGAAGAACTGCAGAATGCAGATGTGGAATACACAGACTTTGCAGAGACATTTGATGAATGTGACCATGAAGTGAGAGCCCACAAAATGTCAATGGAATAACAGGTAAAGGTGGGTAATGGATATTAGATTTTCTGTCAAACGGAATGCAAAGAGTAACGGAAAGTCAGGTAAAATAGTGTCCAAGCACAGCGATAAACTCTATACCTCAGGCCACAGTCCTTGCACCACTCTTTTGTTTGTATTTTATCATATATTTAATGAGCATTGTGATTGGCCAACTTTTGTAGATGACACAAAAATCAGCATGAAAATTACTTGTGTAGAAA